TGGACTATTGCACCCTTCTGACATTTGTTCATCATCCATTTCCAGCATCTAGAAAAAATACGGGCTCCCGAGAATGCCTTGATTGTTTTATTACCGGACGGAATACCGACGATCCTCCCGAAGAAACAGTCGCAGAGCACGGTATTCTGCCAATTTCTACCCGGTCGGTGTCTCATCTCTCAGTGCCAGAGGCGGTTGTACACTTTTATCCAGCTTCAACTTGGCCCCATCCATCGTATAATCGTGAACGGACCTCCGACGATCTCAATGGATACACTTAGCAACGGACGTCGGTCAACCGGAATCGGGGCTACTGCTGCACCCTCTCTTTGGAAGCATGGATGATCGTTCTTGTCCTGGGTACAGTGTATCGTATATATTGTTCACTCCACGCTCGTCAAGCTTATCATGCTACCTTGGCAGTAGACGCTTCCACGACGTAGCTCTTTGTTTTACTGCGTATATGAGAAATACACACTCAAACCTCCTGGGATCAAGCTTCGTCATTGTAGCATTATCGACGCGATCGCATCCTGGGGGTCAAAACACACGCAGCTTCTCTCAGAGCCTTCCTCAAATGGCGTGATGCTCGATCGCGAAGTACTTGCAGACCGATTAATCAGATACACTGCGGTGCTCACAGCTTCTGCCCACCGTGTCGTTGACCCTTGTAGCGCTGCATGCATTGAGCCTTCTCCATAATCGAACCGTTCATCCGTTCATTCGCTCTGCGCTGCTAAGACTTGAACAATATAGTACGCCGGTGATACCGTGCCGAGTACGCCTCCCTGTTAGAGCGGAGACACTTGATTTATTCTCCTTATTGGTTCTCGTAAGAAGTGCCTTGAACTCGGCAAGCTTAGTAGCGACTTTGCTCTTGTTTGTTTGTGATGTACGCAACCACATTACGTGATAAACTATTCACAAATGTCAGCTCAAAATGTATACCTTCTTTTGTAACCGTTCGCATTGATCCCATCACATCGGTATGAGCTAACTCCAATACGCGTGATGTCTAAGACGTCGGTTGGGATGGGAATGGTGTCGCTGTCTGCCCCCTCTTCATGCATCTACCGCATTAAGTCTTGAAGTCACATTCCGCTGGCTTATCGTTTGTAACACGCTGAGATTGAGCCAAACCGCTCTCTTTTGGATATCCCATGCGAGCGTGACAGAGCTCCCACTGGTTGTCAACCTGCATACACCACAAACAGAACTTCTATTGTTCACAGTCAAGCACATAGATTTTTTGCAGATCTTTTTGCCCAGTGCCGCAGCACTGCTTATGCCCCAGCTAACATATGAGGAATGCTGAAACTCAACGCTTTGATCGCGTTATGCGAGCTTCTCAACCTACAGCATCTGCACCGGGCTGCCGTATCTCTTGCTTAAAAAAAGCTTACTAAGGTCACCGACCTTACGTTCTATACTATAACCAGTACGGATGTAGTGGATCGCAATCCGCTACCTCCAAGAGTCTTAATTTCGATAGTGGAGAGAATGAGAAGGAGACTGTTATGGAGAGTA